GCCCATATGACATAGTGGATCGTCTCTCAAACGTGACTTTCCGGATAAAATGTGGTCGGCGAGGTAAGCCAAAAGTGGTGCATGCCAACAGGCTTTAGCGCTATCATGGTCCAGGACATTTCAGTTGGGACGAAGTGAACAACAGAACAAATGACGCTGCTGAAGACGTGTCACCCGAAAAAGCCACCATTGAAGAAGAAACTCTACCCAGTTTTGAGAAGGGAAACGGTGAAGCTCTTGATGAAGTTACTACCACTAATGTGACCGTTATCGACGATAGGACATTTCCTGATGAAGCAGATGAACCCCATATGAAGCAAAAGCCAACGAGACGGAGACCAATACGAAAGAAGATACGTCCCGTAAAATTAAGAGACTTTGTTGAATTGTAATTTTGTGTTTGTAATTCTGTACATTTAATTAAGTTATTGTTAATTGTTATTGGTTTAATGTAATTGGCCATTGTTCGGGACGAACAATACTAAGGAGGGGGCAGTGTTGCGTCAGCGAGGTCACGTGACTAGTATCACGCCACGTCCTTCTCGAACCTTCGTGAATTGTCGGGAGACTACTAGATTGGGGGTAGGCTGGTATATATAAGACGGTCACAACGTGACGGAAGAATGTGTAATTGAACTGAGTATTGTTGAAGTCGAGCACGTGAGACGTTCGTTGAGAATTATAGCGTTTGTTATAGCGCGACTGTTGAAATTAAGTGTATCGCAAAGTTATATTCAGAAAGAATAAACCCGTTTTATTTAAGAAAGGACTTGTGTCGCTAAAGTTTCGTCGGAACGAAGTTACGGAAAATTAACTAACGAACGGAGACGTAGCAACTATAATGTACATGTTTGGATCCCTTTTCGTTTATTTATATAATGACATCTTTTTAGTATGATGTATTAAACTGTCTCGTGATAAATTCAGTGTTTCTTTTCACATAATGTTACACAACTGGAAAAATATAAGCTCTAACTCAAATAGTAATATGTACATTAACAAAAGTTGTATGAAAGCTAATTCAGTGTTTTATATGTTAAGATGTTTATAGTTGAAGTTTTGTTAATAAATCTTTCAATATGCTTATTAAGTTTGTGATTTTACAGTATTGTTATAAAGCATATTCTGTAATGATAAAAGTAAATATGCTGGATTTATGAAAGATGAAAGAACAATCATTGATTTATATTTAAGGGTACTTTTAAGATTGTAACTGTCAACTCTATAATCTTAAAAGTAAGCTTGAATGCTAAATTATTGTATATTATCTAGAGGTTTATATAATTACATTACCATAAAAAATCCTTCCTTTTCAGGACAATAATTGTAAAAACATTATGCAAATTAGATAAAATATTATTTTTAAGACTGATTGTTACTATAAATTTGATGACATGTTGAGACACGTTCATCTACATCCCCCTCTGATGTTCGGCTCGCGAACTATCTGCGCTCTTGACCTCATCGTCCTTTCTCTGCTCTAGCAACTGATGTCAGAAAGTCTCGCTCTCTGGTGCGACTTCGTGGAAACGTCATCGCCCTTTGGTGCCTATTACGTAACAACTATCTAACCCTCAGGCGACATACGTTTGAGTACCACCCTATCCACTTGCATCAATAAAAGTCTTCATTGGACCTGTGGCAGAGCTCGTATTTTAGGAGCTGGCTTCGAATCCGTACAATAACACAAAATGTTTCCAGCACTTTGAGCTGTGTGTGTGCAATATAAGACTGACAATCAATCCCATAGTGTGGATGTAGGTGGCAGGGTGCAGCTAACTAGTGTCCTTCCATCTGATTAATAGTTCAAAATTATGGACGGCATCTGATAACTTTAGTAACTTTGTCATAGTTCAAAATACAAAATCTCTACCCAATAAATTATTAAATAAAAATGTATGCAGAAAATTTACTTCCTATGTCCTAATAATATTTGTAATGCCATATTCACTTAATTGAGTTATAACATTTGTTCGTTGCAGTTAACTGTTAATCTACTTGAGAAATAAGATAAATAATTTAGTATGTATACGCAAAATAATATAATTATGGTGTACTTTGGATTCATAGGCCAACATCTACTGTGAACCTTTTTATAACATTAACCAGTTGTTACTCTTTCTACATACTCTGGACCAGAAGTGGCTTATTAGATAGAGTCCAATGCTGCTGATCCAAAGACACAAGACTCGCGCCTTGACATTGCTGAATAGTATTTTCAGCTATCGATATTCTATAAGAGTAGTAGTCAGTCCCATTTTTTTTTCTGTTCATAACTCTTGTGGTGAAAAATGCTGCAGGTTGTGTGCTTTTTCTATGGTCAGTACTTCAACCCTAGGACACTAACGGAATGTTAAAAATATCAAGGACAAAAAACAAAATATCTACCGTAAAGTCTAAATGATATTAATTATTCGTATTTTTTCTACATATGTTGGGACTATAAAGGCATTCAGGCGATAATATGAAGTTATCTACCGAGAAATAAGGCAGATTTAGAGGTTACACTTTAAGTCACTAAAGATTCGGTTAGAAATAATGTTGATAAGGATTTAAAATATTTAGTCGCTATAATGAGCTGTTGTAAAACTAAAATATGAATGATCTCAACAATATGACATTCATCTTAGGTTTATGGAGTAAATTTAAAAGAGAAAGTGGATTACAGTAATTTACACAATATAATAATTTGTTAACTATAATGTTTTTTTTTTTTATTTATATAAATACCCTAAATATAAGCAACAAAGGAATTTAATACGTACTTCTAGACTTTCTAGTTGATATATTAAAAGCCAGTTTCTGGCTTCTTTTCAAAATATACTTAATTGACACTTGTGTATTTGGAAAAGTATGCATCAAAATTTATATGTAATTTTTATATAATTCAAAAGGTAACCAAGATTTTTGCAAAGAGTCAAGCAATTAAAGCATTATAAAAGATGAAAAAAATATTGAGTTGTTCTAAAGTGTAAAGCTCGTAAAATGATTGAATAAATATTATAAAACCTCTGCTAAATGTATACAATAATTGTTGTCTTTAAGGTTATGACAGTACAAATATTAAACATTTTTTCCTTGATATGAATAATTTATTTAGTCGGAAAATGAAAATTTTGAGTAGTTTAATATAATTTTAGCTGAGAATATTTGGGAGATACAAGTTCCTTTGAGTTATTAATAGAGTGGTTGTTCATAAGCGCCATAGTGCCGAAAATATCGTTACAGCTGGGGTGTCAAACTGTGAATCAACGCATTCTACTCATTGTGATTTTGTTTTTCATTTGCAATGGTTATTGGTATTATTTACTTCAGGTTAGTTTTGTTGTATAGAATTAGGTTCATTCAATTATTACGTGAACTGTTTTTAATGATGAGCTATATAGTTAAAGAATTTTTGATAACAGGTTATAAAGCATACTTACCATAAGATTAATGGCAATGCATCGAAATGAGCCTCAACAAAACGCTCGTAGAAAACTATAATTAAAGAAGTAATACACTTAATGATTTAAAAAAAAACTTAAGATCACACTGGATGTTAAAAGTCATGATAGAAATCGGACCTCGACTCCAAAGTTATCTATTAGAACTAGTGTTAGTATTTTTTATGAACGATAATTTTTTTAAATTTTCTAACGTATATTGTGTCGCATGTAAGACAATAAAAAGTTTATAAATATTTGTAATAAAACCGAAATATAAATTCAGTATCTAATAATCATATACCAGACAAAATATATCATCCTCATTTTCTTTTTAAGAGGCAAAATCAGAACGAGAAAAGCTATGCATGTATGGTGCGTATGTACTTCAAGTTGAAATGCTACATCTAAAGTTGAATATAAAACATGATATCTCAAGTAATAGTTTTGTTGCTCTTGAATTGTTGTAAAGATAATAATATAGAATGCGTGTTATTGTTAACGTACAACAGTTGTTGCAAGTTAAACATGGCAGAATAGGCAACACTTTTTAAAAACCGAAAAACGCCACACTTTAGAAAGTAGACATTCAATAACACAAACTCTACATAGTAAAGGTATTAAAAATAATTGACAATGTGTATGGCTATTGACAAGTAAGTATAAAATAAAAATTATACCTCAGGTCCAGTTTTTTATAGTTTTTTATGTTGAAGTGTTTGTATTGTCGCACCAGTCGTATTAACTTTTGAGCTAGTGAGGTCATGACACCCAGCTATGTAGGCTTACTTCAAGTAACTCGTTTAGTAAAATACAAAATAAACGGATTAAGCTGCTAGTTTGTTTTAAACTTTTGCCTCATCTTCTAAAAAATCGTCCTGAAAAACAAAATTACTGAATCCCGTCACTTTTGATTTTCCAAAGTTAAATTAGTTATAGGTAATTTTTACTGAAGATCGTCTTATAATTCGTATAATTTTATTCTTCAAACATTTCTCAAAGTTTTCGCCAAAGTTTTGAAAACGTTGTCAGTTTTGCCTAACTTTTAAAATATTCCATCTTATGAAATTTGAATTTGATATTAAATGATAAGTAATATAGCTTTCTTCACTCTATATTTATGATTATGTGATGTCGTAGATAATTGAAAGCTGATAAAGAGATAGATTAAAGATGAAGAGCGTATTCAACTCTAATTTAAGTAATATTAACTAGACTTAATAGATATGATAGTTTAGTTACGAAAATTTTTATGTTAATTCTTTTTCCAAAAGCTTTAAAGTCGTTTAAAATTTACAGACACGATGTTAGAAACACAAAAGTAATCTTGAAAAGACGTAATGGAACCTTCTTTGTATGAGGTTTAAGTCATTTTTTGTTTAAGTTCCCAAAGTTCTATCTTCCAGGATCAATGAAATCCGTTAAATTCCCTAAAATAATTTAGTATTTTTTTCTGTTACCTTATTAAAATGTTCTCTATAATGTCATTTTGGCGAACAGTTTTCCATATTAGGTGATATATACATGATGATAGCTGTTTTTAACGAATAATACATGACAAAGATAAGATCATAGGCTAAATGCTTTATTTCAAGTCATTACTTTCCAAATAAGTCTTCTTATTCAGGATTGTGATATACTGTTTGTATTGAAACCATATATATAATATCTCACAGTAACATAATAATTCCAATTATCTTAGACAGGTACATAAACAAGAACTCTGAAAACATAGTTTATTGTAACAGAAGCTGTGGAACGTTATATTTCACTGGAATCTTTAATTATAAGTTTGAATCCCTACAGAGTCAGAAATCGGATGTGCACGTTAGCGTCTCCAACATCTTTTATAATTTCAGTTCCAGTTACATTTATTTAGCCCCAGCGAAGAGGTTGTCCAAGTGGTCGAGTAAAGCTACCTCTAGCGACAGCACGAACAACATCAGAATCGTCATCGTCATTGTCGTTGAACATTCGGGGTCGCCATTGAGCAAACAAGCTCAAAGCTTTCTTGACCATTTCATTTGGTCTTATATTTTCAAAATCTTGTTGACCAACGGTTGCTACTGGACCAGAGTCACCAGATTTGATGAAAGCATTGTAAAGTTGGCCTAAATGGACATCGTTTTCAAGATTCTGTGTGTGGAAATTCTGGAACTTGTTCCGATAAAAAGGTTTGCCGTTTGTGAACAGAACAAAATACATCAGAAGAACCATAAGAAGGAAGGCTTGTTTGGCTACTTCCATACCTTAAAGAAGACAAAAAGAGATATTCATATGCTAAATATCTCGGTAAAAACAAAACAAAAACCCGAAGAAAATTATTCAGAAAAACAAAGCTATCTGTTTTAAAAAGTAAGAGTAACATTTGTCTTGGTAATATTAGATAATACTAGCATATAGATTGATGAAATTAATAAAGGCTAAACATATACTTGAGACAAAATGTGATGAAAGTGTAATTGTATATGTAAAATATATTGTATTAAAACAAGTACAGAACAATTTCAGATTTTGTTTTGTTTTTTTTCGGTACAAGTATTTACCTAAATGGAATATATTTAGTTCTACAAATGAATAGGAATTTTTGATAAAGGGAAAGTAAACACATCGTCACACAAATGACGAAATCCTCTAATTTCGAGTGAAAAGTTAAATTTACTTTACATTATCAATAAAACATCGATTAAGAAGTATAAAGATTTAAATAAATCAAACTTACAGGCAAAATAAATAGTTTGTTTTTAATTAAGCACAAAGCTACACAATGAGCTATTTGTGCTGTGTCCACTACGAATATAGAAACCCAGTTTTTAACGTTATAAACCTTCAACACTTATTGCTGAGCCACGGGGTAGGAGGTAAATAAGTTGTTAGTCAAAAAAAGATTCATATGTCAAATGATTAATTTGTAAGTGAGTAAACAAACAGGTAATCCTGTGAGAAATTCAAAAGTGTTTTCTAAGTAATGACTAAAAATATAAGTGATCAAACAGTGATTAATTCGATTGACAAGTAAATCCTTGTTTGATGATGTATTTAAACGGAAAACAATTATCTCTATTACTGAAAAATGTTCATGCTTGTGATTCACTTTTGGCCGATTTAAAACGATAGTTGTATACTTAATTAGTGCGTTATTTCTTAGCAGATGCCATTTTTTCTTGTTTAATTAGATTAGTATTCTTTTAATTAATAATTCAAGCTCGTGGTAACGGAATAAATACATGATCATTGTATGTTAGTTTACTTAAGGGGATGACGAACACACAAAAATGAAATAATTATGTTGCTGTATGCTATATTTTAATTCTTTAATGAAGGTGTTTGCTGGAGTGCATAAGATGTTGTGATCGGGAAAATTCGTGTAGTGTTTGTTCTAGAGCCAAACCACATTGGGCTCTCTGCTGTGTCCACCGTGAGGAATCAAACCCCTGCTTTTAGGTTGTAAGTTCATAGACTTACCGCTCTCCCACAGTGGGACCCATGTAGTGTAATTACAATATAGAAACGAGTAAAATGAAGCAGAGCAGTTAATGAATAATAATTGAGAAGTTAATCAGTACTCAGTTACTCAATAATTGATTAACTCCATATCAGTAGAGTTAGAAGTGACAGTTATAGCGTTTATTCTGTTATTCAGTTGATCGATCGCTTAGCCATGGAATTTTACAAGTACGTTTATAAGTAAGTTAGGCTGACGTTAATTTCGTAATTTCTGTTAAAAGTTAATGTATTTGAAATGAGGTCTACAATAAACGTGACTGTAACAAATGTTTAGCGAAGGAATTAATTAATTCGTTATCTTTACTTGGACTGTACTTCGTGTTGTATTTTACTAACTAACCAAAAACCCGCCTAACGATAGAACGGGTTGAAACAACTATTTAATTTCTGTAGTGCACATTGGTGTATAGAAGACATATTAATGCTAGAAATAAATGACCTTATAACACTAAAATGTTGTTTTTAACTAATTAGACACTCAACATTTCGCTTTACAGTACAAAGCTTCTTATTGTTACAACAATATTGTCAGTTTTCGTCAATAAACTATAATTCTAAAACATTTCAAATGAGTATTTGGAATACTATTATTATACACTCTTGCAATTCTTGAAAATCCCTAAAGGACTCGATATAGAATGCAGCGTTAAAAATATAATATGCCTAATACAAATATCTAAATTAATTATAGTCATGCTTCATTAGCAGTTAATAAAGTTAAACTGTAAACAACTTAGCTGTTATGAAATAGCTGATTTAGAGTTAAAATTTGTGGATTTTAAATCAGAAGTATGTTAAAAGTAGCATTTCAGATCTGTCACAAGTGGCCTTTCTTCCAACACCAAAACTTTTCAGTTGGGCTTGACTATTAGAGCCAAAACTCTATAGGTTGTTTGAACCAATCACATGGTACGCAGATAAGGAATTTTTAAAGTTTTAGTTTTACCGATGAAAGGCGGTGACACTTTCGAAATCAGTAGGCCTCACATTTATGATAAAAAATCATGTGAAATTGTACGTGTTTTTCTTCCATGAAAATTAGGCCTGTTTATTTCCGTAACAGAAATAAAGTGTGTTGATATTCATATACACACATGTAATGATGTATATAACTCGTCGGTAGTTAAAAAACAACAACAAATTTGTTAATACATTTTTTACAGAAAGAAAGAATTGTTTGACCAAGTTATTGATATTCGATTTAGAAAATTGGTTAAGCTTTTTCCAGTCTCATGTAATATTTATACTTATCTTGAAAAGTAATATTTTACCTTTTAATTGTTATGGTGTGAACACCTTTTACAAACTGACGAAGCATGATTATGATTAATTATATATGTCATAAGATATTAGTATTAGGCCTATTATATTTTTAAACACTGCATTCTATATTTAGTCCTTTAGGCAGTGTCGGATTTATCACGAGGCGTAGAAAGCGCGCAACAAGGGCCCTCGATACATGGAGAGGGTGGGGGCTAAACTCTAGAATAAAAATGTTCATATATATGTTTCATAACATATTATTATTTTATTATTGTTTATTTTTCATTTATTACATAAAGAGCAATGTATATACTTTCACAGTAATGTATATGATTTAATTTGTTTGAAGTTAAGCACAAAGCTACACAATGAAATATCTGTGTTCTGCCCACCACGAGTATCGAAACCCGGTTTCTAGCGTTGTAAGTCCGCAGGTATACCGTTATGCCAATGGGGGGGGGGGGGCGTATGTGATTTAGATTTCGGCTAAACGCAGATCATATCATTATACCTTAATCCTTTCATTTCTGATAAATGACTAGTCATTCACTGAAACATCTTAGTACTGCTTATTTTCCATTCCCTATACCAAAATTAAGAACACACTTTGGAAAAATTAAGCATTAAATATCTTTGAAATAACAGAATTTTGTATTTCCACCGTTTAAATAACTCAAAAATTATTTTTACATTTCAATAATTCATATACAGCAGTGGCTGTTGCTAGGCTTGCTAACTCTTCCGGATTCGCCGGGAGTATCCCAAAACCGTATATATATTCTCCTGGCACCCGGAAGGATTGCCAAATATCCCGGATTCTCTAACAGAATGTGCTTGCAAATCAAAATATTTTCGTGTCCCATGAAATTAATAAATAAAATAACCACAGGAATATAATATATTACATAGATATGCTAAAATGATTTTTTTAATTCTAGTATATGTAAGGAAACTAAACATAAATCTAAATAAATCTCACTAACAAAAACATTTTTAAAACTAAAAGTTTGTCATTATTTTAAAAATAATTTTGTTTAATTACATGAATTGTTATCAACCTACTACTTGCATATGATCAACCTTTATATGCCTACAATTTTTGAATACTGTATATGAATTATGAAAATTTAAATATATATACCTATACACACAAATTTAGCTTTAGGAGTTGTTTTTCGAAAAGTTGGCAAGCCTATACAACACGCATGAGCAGCGTCGTTGCAACAAGCATTTTGCCACCTTGTGGATGTTTTGCTCTAGCAAGTGATGTTCCACAAGTAGGGATAACTTCTGCAAGCGCCTTAAGTAAGGAATTTAGCAAATGTAGGTATTTAGGATTTTTTTTTTTTTTTCAAATCAAATTATACGATACGAAAAATGAAAAGGATATACCAGTTTGGTGCAGAAAAACTATAAGAACGAAAACTAAAAGAAAAAGCCTATAGAAGCAAACTGGTGCAGTTTCTCGTTTCCAAGGAGATCATGTGGCCTAACGTGAAGGAATTAGCTCATCAGAAATGAACCAACGAAGAAAATGTTAGTGAATCTTGTGATGATCAAATAAATACAGCCTCAACTAGCAGTAATGATCTAATCCGAAATCAAGCTGAAAAATATTCAAGTCCAGCTATTAACTACTCATAAGCTAATGCTTTATGGCCAAGTATAATTACCGACAATGTTATTGACTATTACATAATAAATAAACCTGAAAAATTAGAGATATGAGCGAATATGTAGATCGCAACAGAAAGTTTTTAGAAGTTTGCAAGAACAGCATTTTTACTGTCTAAAGTCGAACGGTGAAATAAAAAACGTGAATGGTTTGTCTATAGCACAAGCAAATATGTTTATTGTTACGTTTGCAAATTATTCCAAATAAGAAAGTAAGCCTTGCAATTAAATTGATTACAGGGTTTTGTGACAGGAAAAATGTATTGTTACGTTTGCAAATTATTCTAAATAAGAAAGCAAGCCTTGCAATTAAATTGATTACAGGGTTTTGTGACTGGAAAAATGTACACAGAAAATTTATTGAATATGAAATATCTAAAAATCACGTATCTGCTTTGTGCAAATTTTCAAGGCGTTCTATTAAATTCTGTCGTATTGACCCTGAAAATGAGAAAACAAATTGATAATGAACAAAGATATTAGCGTGAAGTTTAGAAACGCGTGGTAGCTACTGCAAAATTATTGTTTATATTAGGATTTAGAGGTCACGATGAAAGTTTAATTTTTAACAGGAAAGGTAAGTACTTAAGTTGTCTTAGCGAATTTGATGATATTTTTAAAATCATTTGGAACGCTATAATAATCGGGTCAAGGAATGACAAGTTATTTGTCACATCAAACTTGTAACGAGTTTATGATCAATGAGAAATCAACTTCAGTGTAAATTCACAAACGAAATTAAAAGTGCAATATATTTTTCCATAATTATTGATTCAATACCGGTCATATTGATCAACTTACTTTT